TTTTCAATAATCGATTATTTATTTCGACAATCACTCATCCTCTATATTAATTAATATTCCTAAAGAAAGAAGCTGAGGTTACAATACAAAACAACATTTTCTCATTTTGACAAATTTTTAATATTATGTAATAGCCGTAGAAAAAATATAATGTTTGACTCAAAAGGTTTGATTTGCAGTATTCGCCTGCGCACATGCTTTTTTATAATACTCGTAGACAATGAGTACCATTTCTTGCTCTATTAACAATATTCTATTTCAACATTTTACTGTAGTATCTTGCTGAAAAGTCCGTAGTAAATAAGCGCTAACGAAATATTCTATAAAAGGTCTTCTTTTTACATAAAATGTCGTGCATCTGTTTGATATTAAAAAATCACGTTAATTTTATTTCATAATACAAAATTTCATTAAACATATATTTTAAATAAATCTATTAGTTCATTATGATGCTAATAAACAAGTCCGGTCCTTGTCACAGAGTTCGGGTCTCTACCCAGTTCCCCCACTCCGTTAACCTTTCTTTAGAAATTGGCAACATTTGCGCAGGTTAAACACCAGTGTATGTTATATCTCTGGTCTCTTTTATCTAAGACGAAAATCGAAAAATCTTAGGTTAGAATCACCAAAATTTTAACTCAAACTTCTCTGTTGTTTATGCGTAACCCGCAATTTTTTTTGTTATTTTATATACACTTAATACTATTTTCTAGTTCAATTTTTTTTTCTAAATTCGTGTGTCCGTTACGTTTACAGGCACCAGTTATTATTTTTAGTTAGTACTATAAATTGAATTTACAATAAAATATAAATATTTAACTACATAAAGAACCTTTAACTCAACTAATTTTATAATAAAACTTAGATAACTAACTAATAAAAAGCCGCAGAGGCTAGTCGCAAGATAAGTGTGCATCCATCCATATACCGGCAACAGTTAAGGAATGATCTCTCCAGCCACGTCGTGGATGCGGGACCACTAGGTGGTTTTACCATGGACCGTGTCACCATGGAACTTCCCCATCGACGACGTGGAATGAATGACGATAAATGAGGGAGTGCATTGGTGAATGGGATAGTAATAGGACCATCAAATGGTGGTTCAATAAGCCGTAGGCTGCAGTGCCGCAAGGCTATACAGATGGTTAAGAGTGATAGCATGGGGTTCCGAAAAATAAAAATATAATAAAATTTATTCAATTAAATTTAATTTTATAATAAAATGTTAATAGCTAACTTGAACTTTATCATAATTACTTACAGTTATGGTTTTTCTTTATTATTTAAAAAAGAAAACTCATTTTTTGCTAACACTTTTATAATTAACTTTCCTCATCATTCATCATATAATTTGAACAATAACATTTTACTATAAGTTAATATTATCTGTACATCTTCTCTTATATATTTACACATTCACACTGTGAGGCAAATTATTTTATTAAAAAAGTCCATTGTGGAAAAGAACAGTTGATGGTAACGGTAGAAACACAAGTCTTCTCTGCTTCAGGTTAAATAGTTATGTACATCTGTTAGATATTTAGTATTTTTTTATAAATTTTCAGGAAGTAATTTTGTTTTATTTTATATATACCTAAGTCGTCTTATTTAAAAATAACCGAGGGGGACACCACTAAGGTCAAAACGTACTCATATTTTGGAAATCATCCAAACAAATTTTGATTTCGGTTATTTCGCTGAAACATCCCCCTTAATTTTATACGATGACTTTTTTGAGCTCTTCCCTTTTGTTTTGATCCACAAGCTGCTGCATTTACATTTTTGAGCTACTAGTTGATTTAGAAGTGATTTCGGTCATGAATTCGAGAAAATTTGTAGTGATTTCGGGTGAAAACGTACCAGTATTTTAGGAGTGGACGATTCCTCGGAAATAACATTAATTCAGTTTTTGTAACATGGTTTCAATATACCTACTTGTATAACGATAACATTCTATAATACAAGGCAAGGCATGATTCTGCTGCTTTAAACTACATTTTTTTCAGTAGTGCTCAACAAACATAGATAAACAGTAGTTTAAATTATCGATAATCGATTTGTGTATTGTTAATTTTAACTATTCTCATTATTTTCAATATATTTCTGTTACATATTCGACATGTTTAGAAAATGTTTAATGTAAGAATATAAAGAATAAAAATGGTTTAAATATCCATCAGAAGATGTAATACAAATTTGTTTAAAATTTGAAAAATTAAAAAAAACCATAAAATTTGTTTTAAAATAATTCATAAAATCTAATATTTTCCGAATATCATGCAGCACAGTTGATAAATATATTAGTATCTAACTAACGATCTGACTAAACCTAGACATAGTGAATATAGAGCAATTCATGTCTTGTTTGGTTTGGTTTGTCACACATGCGCATTCAATTGAACTAATTTCGGATTGGTAATGTTGAAACAAATCTTATGTATATAATTCATTTCAAAGTTGTAATTCTGAATAGTCGACTTTTATTAGAACTAAATACGATTCTACTTAGACTACCATATGAGGCACGCCCAGTGGGAAATTTTTAATAACACGTATCTTATAGGAAACCATTGCCTCATCGCCTCTCCATTATTATACCTCTTTGATCTTAGTATGTTAGATTGTGGTAAAAATGGAGATAATGCTTCTCCAAACAAGATGACTTTAAGGTAAAAAATTAAGAGTTGAAAGAATCTAATGATTGTAAGTTCATGACATGAGAAAATTTGACACATCACTATAAGTTTTAGTACTATAGATTTAGCTGTAAATAGCTCGAAAATATCGTCAGAAAATGAATATAGAGATCAGGTGGTGGAAGTTACAAAATAGAACAATTTTGGATTTAAAATTTAAAAATGGGAAGATGGATTATCAAACTAATTAAAGGATGGATAGGCACAACCAGATTTTCTGCAGATTAAAAATTATGGTAAAGGTAAGCAGTGAGAATAAGTATGGCAGAAATACAGGGACTGCCAGGTAATGAAGTTGAACAAGTGAAAGGGTTAAAAACTATTAAGGAAAGAGAACATTGTTTTTGTTGGCTAGAATAAATGCAAAACTTTTTATCGCAAACTAAAATATTTCAACAGCGATCATACAAAATATAAGACTTCATAATAATTATCCCTTTTATTAACATACTTATAGATTTTTTTATTAGTAAAATAGTATATTGTTTCACGAGTGACGAAAATAACATGGTAATGTTCGCGAGCTTCAAAAAATTATTTTTGACGAGTAAAACACTATACTTTTTCTACGAACTCTATTATGTCATGTAGGTACCTACTAAAATGAAAAAAAAAACAAACGTTAGCAAATGCTTTATTTTGTGTTAGTAATAACAAAAAATTAACCAACAATTAAATATTTCAGAAATATTATTTATTATTTAAATATTGATTTATTGTTATATTTAAACAATTGTTCAAAATTATGGGGTATCACACTCAAGCTTTTTATTTATTGAGGTAGATGCCGACATATTTGTTCTACTGTTAAATGTCATTTCAGATGATGATGCGCCATAATCGGATGAACTAGTAGTTTCCTTATTTTGTACAGATTGTAAAATTTTGGTTTGTATTTGGTTTTTACTGTTCGTGGATTCATCAACATATCCTTCCGCAACACTACTAGATTTCCAACCACCGTGCTTTTTTAACAGAAGGAAGTCACCTCCTGCATCCACTAATAGCGTTGCGGATGTTCTGCGGAAACAGTGCCCAGTGTAACCTTGAGGATTCGGAAGCGGTAAAAACTGAGCAATTTCGTTAGGAAATTTACTGATTTTATTAATTCCAACAACCTGTCTGCTACACTTTTCATTCTGATAGTTAATAAAGAATCTTGAATTAATTTGATCCATGTTTGCGGGACGTAGGCTCATATATTTTTTTAGAAATATCATAAAAGGGTCCAGAAATATGAAAAGAACGCGGAACTTTTGTTTTTGTATTACGGATTTTAACTAACAGAATACTTCCAGTATCTTTTACATCGCTTATTGTTAAATCTTTTAGTTCGTGGCAACGACAAGCGCCAGATAATCCAAAAACTAATGCTACCTACAAATATTAGTAGTTATGTATTAAGTATTTGTTAAAATAAAAATAATAATTCCGTTACCTTTGTTATTAAATATTTATAGTCAGGTGCATTCTTTAGGAAAGTCTTTATGTCTTCAGGCGAAAAAATTTTGGATTTTTGGCTTTTAAAACCATCAGATTTTCTTTTCAAAAGCGAACGTAACTTTGGATAGGTATCTACTAATATCGACCTCATTTTTAACAGAGAGTGTAGTTCTTAGCATCGAATAAATGGACCATAACGTCGACGGTTTAAAATTTGAACATATTTCTCCAAAGTATGCTAGTAGTACAGTTTCCGAAAATGATTTCACTTTATTTTTTTCTCTCCAGTCCAAAAATTAGATATAAATTTCTTCATATCTCTTTTTTGATTTGGCCGGTAATAAACCTGAAGAGGTTTCTTCAGCTTTAAAAATAATTTCTGGGGGAGTACAATCGCTTTCTGACTCAGACATCATGAAAATGTGTTAAATTTAGGACGAACTGAAACTGACAGTTCTCAAAAGTGATAAAACTTCAAATAAACAAATGAAAACCAGGAAACTAGATGTAGATTGGTTTAATTTGCACTATTTTTATACATTTTTATTTTATCTTTAATTCATTAAAGTTTAGGTAAAAACGCATATAGAATTTAATGAGCATCTTTTTATTTCATTATTAATAATTATAAGCTGCCAAAATATTATACGAGGCGACTGATATATGAAAATATGTAACAACTTACTTTCGTCACTAGAGACGAAAGTAAACGTTATGGGATTTTTTCTCACTAGTGACGGAAATCAAGTTTTCGCTGAAAGTATCCTGTGACGAAAGATGTCTTTTTGTAAGAGTTCGTAGAAAAAGTCATTTCCGTTTATTTAATTCCAATGATAATGAAATATGAAAGTTGATACTCACTTAAGTTTAATATATTCAGTCACAGCAGGAAAATTGAACACTAACCATAATTTTAACTTGTTTATTAAATTAGCGGGAGACATAAATTTTTCAGCTAAATCTCTGAATTCTGAAAAAGGCTCATCAAAGCTTTTACCATCAACTCCGAAAGCGCAGACTGCTATATTGTCGAGTGTGTATCTGACGCATACTTCTCTGGCTTCCAAAGGTTCTGAAATTTTAATTTCATCTTCCACATATTTCACCATTCGTTTACTGGTGTGTTCCAGGAAATAGTACATGGCCTTTATCTAAAACATTTAATCATAAATTTAATAAAAATATTATTGTGCGTGCAAAATTGGCTACCGAATAATAAACACACCATTTGTTTTACACATCGATAATAATTATTAGAAAAAGGATTATAATATTATGACCGTAGTATAATTTTTTTACATATTAAATAAAATTTCTTTGGTATGATCGGTAGACTATTTTTATTAATATAGCACTACATATATTTCGGTTTTTAAAATCATAAATTTTACTTTGTATCCTGAAACATATTATGTAGTACTGCATTAATTAAAATATTCAATCGAACGATCATACTACAGAAATTTTATTTGTTATATAAAATAAGTAATTATGTCCTGTTTTCTATACTCATTTGTAATATGGTGCTTCGTTGTCTTCAGCTCCTAAATAGTCCAAGGAGGCTCTGCTATGTCATATTAAAATGAAATTAATTCTTTATTAATTCAGTATAACTAGTTACAAGTTATTGGACAGCTCAATATATAACATACAAAGAAAGTGATACAAAAATATACAGGGTAATCAAAAAGTCTAGCAACCAGGTATTTTCTTTGAAAAAAATGAAAATTATAATTATGAAATTTTCCTGTTTTAAATAATACTAAAACAGTATTAAAAACTCTATAACATTGCTGCGATTCTATTAATCTACTTTTTATTTTTCACTATTTTTGATTCACCACTGGTAGATAGTTCATCTGAAACTAAAAACACTAGTAGGCACTGAAAAAATGGTAAAAATATTGTTTATAAAATAAAGTGTCAGATATAATTTAGTTTTAATTACAGTGTTGAAAGGTAAACTAAGAATAATGGCAAACTTATCAGAAAGAGAACGAAACGGATATTAATGTTAATTGGATACACATGAAGAAGGAGGTTACCTGTTCAACGATTTAAATCCTCAAAAACCTCCTATAAGTAGATCTATGGGTGCGAGAAAAAATAAATTAAATGAAACTGGCAACATACAGAATCGCCTAAGGTCTGGTAGACCAAAAACTGCAACTAATTAAGAATATTCTTTAGTTGTCCTACTAGATGTTTAAGAAAATCCTAAAACATCTACACATGAACTGTCAAGAAAACATGGTATCAGCAGGAAGACTGTACAGAACATTTAGCAGTAAAATAAGTTCCTCTCTTATATAATTTAAAACCTTTAAGAATTAGAGGAAGATAATTTTAATCGGAGTTTTTGTGAAATGGTTTTAGATAAAACTGCTCACGAAATTAGTCTAATTTTATCTAATTTTAACGTCATTTGTAGAAGACTGTATCTCGGAAACGCCATTTTTTAAAAATGAAGAAAATTCTGAAAGTTCATTATTTCTTGTATTTACAGCTTGATGTGATCTTTGGTAAAAATGCATTTTTCAGTGTTGTACAAGACGAGAAAGACTATAATGTAAAAATGTAAAAGTTTAACTATCTTTCCCCGAATTGTAAAACAATTCCAGTACTTTCATCGTAATCACATTTAAGTTCTGGTCGATATCTCGCAACGTATTTGACAGTTTTGTATTTTTTGTTCAGAAAAAAGTTATAGGGAATTTTCAAAAAGTTTGAATTTTTTAAAACTATTTTTTCAAAAATAACATAAATAAAATGCAAAGTCATGTGTCACTTAAAATGAGAGCGATCATTTGCCTTTAGAAAACAATTACTCATTTGGCAAAAACCACAACCGGTATTAAATTATATCCAAAGGAAAACTGCTACTTTTGCACTCTACTTTTGATTTTGCTTTCTCAGAAGAACGTTATTCTTGGACAGGTTTTGTCCTTATTAGGACTATTCAGCAAGAAATAGATAAGTTCTCAATTCCAGTCTCTAACTGAATTAACAAAGACACCAAGTTTACTAGTATACAATAATGGTGGTTACGAAGAGAATAAGTATTAAGCTATTACAAAATCGAAAAATCGAAAAATCGAAAAATCGAAAAATCGAAAAATCGAAAAATCGAAAAATCGAAAAATCGAAAAATCGAAAAATCGAATAATCGAAAAATCGAAAAATCGAAAAATCGAAAAATCGAAAAATCGAAAAATCGGAAGATCGAAAAATCGAAAAATCGAAAAATCGAAAAATCGAAAAATCGAAAAATCGAAAAATCAAAAAATCGAAAAATCAAAAAATCGAAAAATCGAAAAATCGAAAAATCGAAAAATCGAAAAATCGAAAAATCGAAAAATCGAAAAATCGAAAAATCGAAAAATCGAAAAATCGAAAAATCGAAAATCGAAAAATCGAAAAAGAAATTCCGTAACGAAAATAAACCAAACACCCCCCACTCTGACCGGCACAGCGGTGTGGCGTTGAAAGCCGTGCGTCGTCTAACGTCGTTTTAGTTCGGCAGACTTCGGTACGGTGTTTGTGTGCGTGCCACTAGACGTATGCGTGTAGACTAGCTGCTAACTGCTCATTACACAATTTCGGAAAAATTGAATTTGAAAATGAATAATGATCCAAAAGAATCCACAACAAAATATGGGACCGCCATTGACGCGGTATTTTCCAGATATTAAGAGTCTCAAACTTATGTCTCTTATTTCAGTTACCATAAACTTATTGTTTCAATGATAAAAATTCCTGAATAACCTACATGTATTGTAAGGTAATAAAAATATGTTTTTACGATCATGCAAAAACAAAACTTTATTGAACTATATTTAGTGAAGAAACTGGTTCTTTATTGCACTAGTGCAATAAAAATTTTATTGCACTCATCTGTCATTTTACTACAGCGTTTTATGATCATGACAAACATAAATATTCAAATCAACGCCAAATATTTAGTCCATTTTCATTTTCTGTGTTACGTTTTAAAAACAATTGCATATTTTATATTATTTTCAATCATTTAATAAATAAATTAATAAAAAAATGTTTTTTATTAAAAATGTCATTACAAAATATGAACACAAACGTAAATAAATGCCTCAAACCAAGGTACACGATCACGACCACTATGATTTGGATAATACAACTGCAATTCTATAAAACATTTTTAGGTTTTTGCATGAATGTGGAAAAAATATTGTATGCAACTGGTGAAAAAAGTGTTTATTGCACGTCGCGTGCAATAAACACTTACTTTTTGCACTTGTTGCATAAATAACTATTTAACAACATTAACTTCTCATTTATTCAATAAAAGAAAAAAATGTGTTTTCTTATCGGTCACCACGCTCAAAAAGTGTAACTTAAATTAATATCAAAGAAAAAATTTGAATTATTATCAAGGAAAAAAAAATTCTGCATAAATAAAATAAATAAATAATTATAATTGCATAAGTTGATAAAAAATGCTATGCAATAGCTTTACCGCTGCAGTCCCCGAGTGTCACACGTATTTTTTTAAGTAGTGAAAATAGTAACGCCATCTCTTCTTAGTAAAATTCCCTGTACCCTTTTTTCTAAACAATAAAATACAAAACTGCCAAATACTTTTCGAGATATCGACCAAAACTTCTAAATGTGATAACGATGAAAGTTCTAGAATTACTAATACAACAGGTGCAGGCAGTTAAAAATATACATTTTTACATTTCAGTCTTTTACTAAAAAGTGACTTTTTACTGAAGATCACAATCAAGCTAATAATACAAGACATAATGAAGTTTAAAATGTTGTTCATTTTTAAAAATCGGCTAAGACGTTTTCAAGATATTTCCTACAAATGACCGTGAAATTAGGTGTATCGACTAATTCCATGAGCAGTTTATTTTAATAGTGTTAGCTTATACATATGTATTGTTCTAATAATATAAAATATGTAAAATTATTATGTTTAGTATTCAAAAAACCATATATACTTTACCATAAATTATATTGTACCTATTTTTAGACAAGAAATGCAATTAAGCCAACTGGTAAACCTTGGGGCGGCGAAGTTGACAAGAGTAAATTAAATGCTTAGATTAGGTAAACGAGTTTATTGAGTATTGTATTTTTTGTAATTTTAAAGTTTAGTTGTATTTTTGTGCTTTGCTTATTATAAAAAAACTATTTTTTTAAAAACAGAGTAGGTATGTGAGAATAACCTGATTATTGTCATTTCGATACCTTTTTGCCCTTTTATTCATAAGCGACATTTGTTCAAATGGCACTTACGATAGTCTGGCAAAAAGGTAACGATTTATTTTTATATTCAAAATGCCAAAAAAAACTAAATATTCGTTTGAAGGACCTTGATTCTTCATTAATATGGTTTGTGGTTTTTAACTTAAATATTAGTTCTGTTAAATATTTTTTACCGTTAATAAAGCCATGCATTACCATAGCGATTTGCAGAAGTAAAGAAATTTAATGTATTTTTAGGTATATAAAAATTAAATATACAGGGTAAACTATTTGTGAATAACGATGCCATCGACAATTTTTTTAAATGTCACTCTCCGTATATTTTATTTTTTTAGATTGTTAATTTTAAGACGATCCTAAAAATATATCATAATTATTAGTTTTGTAGATATCATAATTTTAAAATCTGTATTCTTGAAGACCTTTAATTAAATTTAAATGACAAAATAATACAACAGTTATAATAAATTGCCACACAATTAATTACATTAAGGGTTCAAATTGTCTTGCTTCTTGTTCTTAATAGTGTCCTAACTAACTATTAAAGAGTAGCTTACTACTTTGTTATCATAACTTTTTACATCCGACAAGTTTTTACAATAATGATATCCAAAGGTATGATAGTATTAATTTACCGAACACAAGTATGATAGGTATATTTTTGGAATCATCTTGAAATTTACAATTTAAAAAAACATACAGGGAGTGATTTTTAAAAAAATTCTCGATAACATGGTTACTCACAAATGGTTTATCCTACATATTTCATTGTTATCTAAAAATACTATAAATTTAAATCGAAATATTAGAGGATTTTTCCTTAAAATTGTTTGTTTAGCTTAAAATTAATTTATTCCATACTTTATGTTTACCTACAGCTTTTTTGTTCATTTATTAATAAAAAATTTAAGATTAAGTGTTGCTAGAAACATAACCAAAAAAATGTGACCTTACACTTTAGAGATTTGGGAATGTACATGGTATTACCTCATCCTTTTAATTCAGCTTTCCCCTTTTTATTTTGCTATCAGTAAAAATAGTCTCATAATATTTGAAAATATCTTCTAAAAAGTATAGAACAGCATCATCTCTAGAAAGTGCTGCCACTGTTCTAAACGTTTAGTATCCTATAAAAAACATTTACAATGACACAATTGGGGTACAAAAAAAAAATAACAGTAGCAACCCTTGATCTAACATTAAAACTCTATAAAAAATAAATTTTCTTTTCTAGTAAGTTAATTTTAATGCATAATTATTGTTGTTTGTAAGTCAGCATCTATAACTGTAAAGTTGTATAATATAGAAACTTATAATAAAATAAACTACACTTCAAATTAGTATACAATGGTCTTCAACAAGGTTCAATACTAAGACCCATGCTGTTTAATATCTAAACGTCAGAAATACATAACAAATTAAATAATAATAATAATAATATCAAGTTGGTACAATATGCAGATGATATCTGTGTATATACCAGTCGTAGAAAATAGAGCAATGCTTAAATTATTTTATCAGTGTATTACATGTAGTAAAAGAGTGGTTATTTGAAATGGGTTTCACAATGCCGCCAGAAAAATCTGCTTTTATGTGCTTTACAAGACACCGTCAATGTACAAGTACGCATATACAGTTATTAGATTTAAAGATACCCGTTGTGGTATTAGATCCAAAACTGTTTTGGACGAGCCATATCGAATATTTAAGAAACAGATTTGAAAAAGGGTTTAAACATTCTTCGTTGTGTTACCAAAAAATCTTGGGGCGCTACCCCACAAATAGCATTACTATTTTATAAGTCATTTATCAGAGCCATTATTGACTACGGCTGTGTTTTTTACGGATCAGCATCAAACACAAATTTTAAAAAAATTGATCGTATACAATACAAAACAATAATACTTTGTATCAGAGCAATGAAATCTTCTCCTACTAATGCAATTCTGGCGGAAGCAAATGAACCACCCTTACGTTTAAGGCGACAATTAATCGCTAACAAATACATTACTAATTTGAGCACATATAATTCGTCCTTAATGCCTAAAATTAGTAACTTTAACACGCAAATTTTAACAAACCGCTACTGGAGAATCAAAAACTCTCCTTTATTGCCAACTGCTTTTCTTGAAATCAATGAATTTAGTCAATTTATTGAAACAATAAATAAGTTACCTGTGTTTAAACATAGCTACGAATCAATTTTTTCAAAGTCCACCGTCATATTTCCGAACTATAATGAATTACCCTCCTATAATAAAACTTCATTACTTTCTGCAATTAGCAGTTATAAAATAAATACAATAATTTACTCAGATGGAATTAAAAATCTGAAAGAAGTCGGTAGTGCCTTCTATATAGAAAATAATAATCAATTACCAGAGATTTGTAGCATTTTTACAGCTTGAGCTGTCGCTATACATAAAGCTTTGGAGTGTTGTGCGGAAAACAAGGTACAAAGTGCAATAATAATATCGGACTCAAAATCGGTGTTAGAGAGCATACAAAATATAACAACAAGACATTTTGATAATTTTATTAGATATAAGATAAAAAATTTGCTTAATCAGTTAGAAGTCAAAAAGGTTAAAATTATATTTATATGGACGAAAGACATAGTGGCATCTATGGAAACAAGTTAGTTGATATGGCTGCAAAAGAAGCAAGGATATGCAACAATCTTTTAAAAAATCCTTATTACAAAGATCTTTACGGTAAATATAAAGATAATATTTACAGAGATTGGAATAAATATTGGAGATAAATAACAAAATATTCAAATAGTTCATATTTTTCTATCTACAAGGAGTACTGCACAATTATAACTAGAATAAAAATTAATCATGGGTGCTTTCCATCTCATTTATATAAAATAGGACTGACAGATTCTCCACTATGTTCTCTTGATAACGAGGTCGCAGATCTCGATCACATATTTTTCGGCTGTAAGAGTTTTTGTAAAAATGACCTGTGTTAAGGTGTTGCTCGCGACTGGAAATTAATCTGTGTACGATTTATAGGTAGATTATATAAGTAAAAATAATATTAATATCTAATATTATTTAAACGTAATACCTTTCAATTTGTGTGTGGCTAAAGGACTAACGTCCATTGGCAATGAAGGAGGAAAATAAATAAATATTCCATTTGAAATTACAAAATTACATACTTTGAAAGTAAGAACAAGTAAAGCTTATCTATGGAGCATATCTGGAAATAAGTAGCTCAAGACATAAAACATTTATCTAAAAGAGGAATTGTGTGTATGTATTTCTGTTTGGCACTGGTTGAAAAAGAGGAATTTGTTATGTCCATTTTTCAAACATCTTACATTTTTAAAAATCCTCAAATAATAAAAAACAGTAAAAAATAGATATATTAAACACTTATGCCCTTGAGTTTGTTACAAAATTGAAAAATCTAATAAATTTTGTTTTTTTTTTTTGGACGATACAATATAAGTAAAAATAATTTTATATGGTGACCTTTATCGACAAAAATTTGTTTGGTAGCTACAGTCCGACGTACTAGTCGACCCTGCATGTCGATGTAAGACATTGTTATCTTATATGGTGTAGCCTTTCTTACCTTTCCTGAAGTAAAACATCCAGTTAACTGGGCCCTCTTGTTTTTCCACTCAACACCTCTGAGAACGAAAGGATTACGTCCACCAATTGGATCAGAATCTTTATCTACATTGATGTCATTGTTTTGAAAATGTTTAAAATCGCTTACCATAACCCTTTTAACGAATTCGGGATCTCGAACGAGGAGATTAGGTGTAGTGGCTTTATAAAATCCAACAAATGGGTAGTTTTCATATTCTCTGTAAAAACATATGAGCTATTATCGAAATATTACTTTTCCATTAATAAGTACACATAAAATATTTTATTATTTTCAATTCCCAATATAGGCTATTGATTATGTCCTAAAAAAAGGGGGCAATAAGGAACTATCACTATGGCGCATTTTCATTACATTAATAATTTAAATGGTCATTAAAGATAAAAGAAAATGCAACCTTTCCAGTCTTTTTAATTCTCGAAAACAAAGCAAAATTCAGGTATAGTTAATAAAAATATTTGTGTAGAGAAAGCGATTTTCCATCGAAATAGTTTATTTAAAATTTTTAGTAAAAAAGTTTATCCAAAAAATAAGAAATCGGTAAATTATTTTACCAGAACTTCCCTAGATATAGAAATTATAAAAACAGAGAACTTCTAAGCACTTACATATTACGAACGTGACGAATAAGAACACCAAGCGGACGCGGAGTGAGAGTTCGGTTCGGACCAAGAGGAAGATCAAGGAAACCATTTTTCACCGTTATTGAATGATAACGATTGATTGCTTTCAAAGTGGTCCATTTACACAAACCAAAAGAACGCTTTTTTAATATTTCAATACAAGGAGGACATTTTTTGATTAAATATGATTCCTTTTAAAGCCATTTTAAATTTTTAAAAACCTTTAGGCTCTGTTATCTTTAACTTCTAAAATACTCAGATTTCAATTTTAGTTAAATCTACCGACTTTTTAAAATAAATCATTTGTATTACAATAAATAAATCCATCAACAATGATGTTCTGTCATTCTTATAGCCTCCTATTTTTAGGAATATGTTAAATATGTAGATATCGTCAACTTCTCAAGAAAATTTTAGTAGATATTACGGAGAAGTAGATTATTTTTTAATTTAGAATTTGTTTATTGGTGCCACATGTTCTGTGTAGGTTTTGTTACTGTTTCTCGGCGCAATTTTAGGAACAGCACTACTATAATGAAAATACAGAATTTTATTGTCGAGTGGGAATCCTAGCTATGCATTATAATTAATTTTTTTATTTAATTAAAATAAAAATTTTGATTCTGGTGGGATTCAAACCACAGACTCTTATGTTTGAAGGTGCAGACTCTAACCACTGAATCACCCAACCTCATTAACTTGGGATTTAAGAATAAATTATTTAATTCAAAATTAATCTAGTACCTATTATGAAAAAGATATTGTGAAATGTGAATAAATATTTAATAAATACTAATGGTAAACTAATAAAACATTTACCATGTACTTTGTCTACCTAAAGGTAATGTGGAAATGGTTACATTTCATATTCTCTTTATCTACAAATCTTTCAAGTAAAAATTTTAAATAACCCATTATAAAGGACGTTGCAGTTTTATACAGGATATTCGAAATGATTGTGATATTTAGTCCTAAATACGGACCTGTAATTACATTGTGTAGTGGTGTAAATAAGGACAAGAACCAATTTAATATGTATAAATAGCCGACTCATCGGCGCACAGTTTAGTTTAGTTCAGAGTATTGGAAAAGTTAGAGTGTAATAAATAAATTAGAATTGTTAGTTAGTGTCTAAGTATTATATAAATTAAATAGTACGCCTTAAATAAATTGTTAATAGGGTGTTTTAAATAAATAAACTATAAATAAATTAGACTATCGTTACAGTATAACAAACGTCATAAATATCTACAGCAGGCCTGCACAACTGAGATTTTCAACGCTCAGTTCAAAAACCGTAAGTGTGCGAGAGCCAAGAGAGTTCTGAAGTGAATCATTTTTTTAATGGAAATAATAGACTTTGATATCCTAACCGGAAGAAAGTCTGTTTGGCTAAAAACTTGCCGATCCAAAAATTTTACCGATTTTTTAAATCCATAACACTTATTTTTCCATGCTTAAAATTTAACGTATGAATAATACAAATATTAATAATTAGTATAAAATGATAACTTTTATTGTAAAAAAGACAATTATATTTTACATCATAAAAAAACATTTTTTAAGAATAATTAGTTGTGACTTTATTTATAAATAGATCACAGTTTACCATATTCGTAACACTATAGATTTTTTATTAACAAATTAACTTAAAATACTTTTTTGAATAAAAATTAAATTTTGTAAAAAATAAGAACTAAAACGATATCAAGGTAAACGCGGCTATATCTTGGTCAGTTTTTATCCAAAAAAACTTTTTCAACATATCGTTTTAAAGGATATTTATTTATATAAAGCAATACGTGTGTCTTTTTTTCCACCGGTTTGTTGCAATCGTTGTTTCGCCGATGCGGCCTTGAACGTCTTGTGTTGGATTCGATTAATTTATGGTTGACCGTTGAAATAAATAACAGTTGACATTTTGAATTAAAATTTGTGTTTATAATTTTATTTTAATGTACCTATATTCTTTAATTTGGACGTATACATTTTTAAAAGCTCATTTTTTCGGTTTTTCTCACAAAAAACAATTAAATAATTAATTAACTCCTTAATTCTGAATAATTCCCGCAATCCACACCTGTCAGTTGTCACATCTAATCTGAAAAACCATACATTGAACTGATGGAATGATGTTGCATCGATTCCATCAACGTTGGATAAAAAGACAGCGCTGTTAGTTCATCACTGATAGATTGATGAAAAAAAAAGACAGGTAGATACTGCACCGATGCCAACGTTGCTGCAACAGTTGGATAAAAAGACACACGTAATGGCTATACCTTTCTCTGCTCAGAAAACGCTTAAAAGAAAAAAGTAAAATAATACAAAAAATTTGATATATTTTTTATTTTTATTTATTTTTTTTACATATGTTTCGATATAAAATCGCATTTGCTACAAAAAAATTCCTATTAACTATACCTGCATTTTTCTTCGTTTTCGAGATATAATTTAAAAACTGTAAGGGTTTTATGTTCATCTTCGAGCATATATTACTAGAGCCATCGTCCAAATGGACTTTGTTTTAGTACAGGGGGAAAAATAGTATCCAGCATTCCCATTGGTCTGTTTCGTTTTGCTTGGCATGTCAAATCGTCCGAAATTGTCAGAACTGTCATTTGATGTTTGATTTTCATTAATTTCTAGCTTATTTTTATAGTTTATGAGTGATTTTTTGTATTTTATTACTTTAGTAATACAAATTTTAACAATGGTGAGAGTTTGTGTAAGTTGTAAATAGAAATAAGAAAAGACATCGTCAAGGGCATTTCACAAGTAAGTTGCCATTAGCGTCTCTACCATTTTTTTTAAAGAAACATAGTACCTACATTTTATGCAAAAGGCCGTTAAACATGAATTTAAAATAAATGGTAAATTTAGTAAATTAAATTTAAAGATCATGTATTATGTATGAGGAATATTGTTTTTGATTTTGGACTCTACTGAAAAGTTAAAAAAATAATTATAATTTTTCAATATGAACATTTTATCATGATAATGTTGAAGATGTTAAATCAATAATTTTTATTTTTTTGTAGGTTTTCAACTAATTCTGCTGAAAAAACGCATTTGGTGAAACATATTAAAACTTACTCCAGAAAACATTTCAAATAGTGATGTTTTATATTCCAATCATTTTTTTGGATATATATTTATAAGACTGGATGCGGAAGAAAAACTAGATTAATTCCAGGTGCATTGCCATCAGCATTTACTGAGGCCCCAGAAGAAGATGAATCTAAAAGGTATAGAACCCTGCACTTTTCTTGTGGGTTAATCGTTCAAAATTTTTCAGTGATGATCTGAACCATAAAGCCTCTTTTGCAGAAAAAGAAAATGCAGAATTAGGAAACATGTAAGTAACTAAGTACTTTTTATAACAACATAAATTTTATTTTAAAATAATTATCTATAACTACCTATATTTTGTATAAATCACAAAAATGGACAATAACTATTTTGTATTAAATGTACCTATTGTCTTTAATTAAGTAGACTGCTAGTCGTTAAGAAATAAGCAAAACCTAATGTGAGTTTTTCAATAAAAAGTCATTTTAGGCCTCTGTTATTTGCACTTCTGGTCATTAAGAAATAATCTAAGCTTAAGACAGTTTTCCAATAAAAATGAAGCTTCACTTATTTATTAACGAGTAGCAGTGCAAATTTACCTAAGTACCTAAGTATTAGCTTGATTTCTATTTGTAGTATATTATTTAGTAATCTACTGAACATTGGTTACGAACAATATTTTTATATTTAATAAATTATTAGAAAAAGTTCTTGTATTGTAATTCTCGTACACGTGTGTTAAGAGATATCATAAATATTTGTATATTGTACTTACTATTTATTTATATTTTTGATTTGTAAATATAAGCTTCTTATCTTTTTTATTACCTATTATTTCAACCTTCATTTTTCCGTTAGCCACTTTCTGATATTTGAATTAAAAAAAAATTTTTGTTTCCAACACAAATAATAATAATAATAATAATAATAATAATAATAATAATAATAATAATAATAATAATAATAATAATAATAATAATAATAATAATAATAATAATAATTTTTTACTATTACTAGATAGGTACCTACTTAAATAATGCAAATTTATAAAATATGTGCATAATTTGAAGAATTTTAAAGGTATGTATCAAATTTATTATTTATATTAATTGAAAACCCCGTAAAAATGATGCGACACTGGTAATAGTGTACAGGCATTTCCCCTCACAACGTAAACAAACCCTATTGAATGCGGACTCTATGAAATATATATGCTCGAAGATGTTCATCCCTACCTTCAATTTCTACTCTCTAATTTAATAGCATTCATTAGATAACACCTTATGCTGGTGATCGTTCCTTTTATATAACATAATGTGATTTTACTAATTTCATACAAAACACAGGGTAACCATGGTGCCTTCTGCCAAAGTTGTCAAATATTTCCATGGTGATCAATTAGTTAAATATTGAATTAATGCAAGTCTCTATCAAATACGGTAACCCTATTTTGACAGCTTCACATTTATATTATTCTAGTAAAAAATAATGCTAAACAAGAATA